GATCCTCTTTCTCCATCTCCTTCTGATCCTCTTTCTCCTTCTCCTTCTGATCCTTTTTCTCCTTCTCTTGATCTTTCTCTTTCTCATTCTCAGTCTCTTTCTCCTTCTCCTTATCCAATACTACTCTAGTATAGTTTTTATCCTTCTCCAATGCCTGCTGCCAAATCTCCTTCTCTTTAGATAATCTCTCTTCATTAATCTCCTTCTCCTTATGCTCTCCCTCTCCCTTATCCACTACATGTTCCTTATCCATTCCCTTGAGTTGACCCACTCCCTGCTCTTGACCACAAATTGGGGGGCTATCCAACCTAATGCTTTAGAACATTCCATCAAACACATTGGTTTCACAAAAGTTTGAACAATCATTACCCAAAGTATACTTAGGTCCCCTGTACTGGTTACCCGGCATGTCAAGCTGTATTGGATTCTCAATCAATATGTACGACTGATTGAGAGAAGATGCATCACCATTGAATGGACCACCTACAGATTGAGTAACAGTCCACACTAACGAATTGACATCTACGTTTGAGTTTGACAAAATCTCTTCACTCTGTACTTGATAAAAATCTTTTTCAAGTGAGTTAGAATTGAACTCCTTCACAACATTCCCCACCTAATTAATCGACTTCTGCAAATCACCCGCCTTGTCTGCATCATTAATCTGCACATTCTCCACCGGAGCCAAATTCACCATAACTTTTGGATTGGGTGTGTATATGATCAAAATGATCACAAAATCAGATTGCAAGTTGTAAAATTTATACTTATTTAAAACATGGAAAATTACATAGATTTGGAAGCTGTAATAACCTTGTCCTAAATTTGGAGCACGACCAAACGACCGATCGGTGGTTGCCATTCTTCTCCTCTTCACAGTTTTGGGATTACTATCCACTTCCTCTTCAACCGGTTCAACATCCACTTCAACATTCAATACACTCTTCAAAGCATTTAGGACCTAAGGAAACAGATTAATAAATCAAAAGTTGCTTTATGATCAAAACACAACCTCAATCACAAACACTAAACAGTTATGAAAAAAGACAAACCTCAACACAGTTGTTTGATCTTTTACTCTTGCAAGGCAAGATGTCTCTTGCCTTTAAAGGGTGATCCTGCCCATAATTCACATTAACACACTAGACAAAATTTAACACCAATGGTCAAAGATATTTGTAATTACAACATATGTGTATGTCTAAAGTTTGTAAACACTTACAGCAAGGGCTCCATAATCACCACTTTCAAACTGATCAGCAGATAAAGCCTTGTTCATCTCCTGCCTCAACCACGCTTTGATCCTGGAAACTCACCCCATTTAAGGGGTGAGCGGTTAAGCCGGTCTAAATAAAACACCTACAAATTTACATAGCATGTTATTAAACACTCATTAATATCAGCATCAAATCTATCATTGCAATTTGAATAAACTTACCGCCAAGAACAAGGTACATCCACCACTACTTTCATTAAAATTAAGATCATCACCATAGAATCTTTTACTAAACTTCCATAGAGTTTTCATTAGCTCATCAAGTACAAACTCACACCAATTATATGGAGCATTGTCTGTCACTGATACACCATGAAGAAATTGCTTCTTCTTACGATGGCATGTCGATGAACAGAGTACATTCAAAACATACATTAGAAACACCTTCTTAAACTCATCTTCATCCACACAAGGACCCTCCAGATATTGCACAAGTGTCTTCCTAGTTATGCCTCTAGTCCCGCATGTTGTTTTTGTGCTATATGTATTCCAGAGTCTATCCTCCAACTCCTGGTTCACCACCTTCTTCGGTACTACTTTAGGACCATATGGAAGGCCCAACACCCAATGGACCTGAATTGGGTCCAATGGTAACACTTGTAACAGTCAACATGCATTTTCTACTCACATCAACCCTTGTACAAAGCCAGAAGGCCAACTGTTGTGGCAGCCCCTTCAGATATAATAAGCCACCAAAACCCATTTCTCTGACGACACGCTGCTTGCTTTCATAAAAACTGCCTAAAATCCTACCCAATGTCTCCACGAGGCAGTTAACATTCATTGCCTGCCCAAAAAAGTGACACAAAAACATGATTACTGTTCCTAATTTCTAGCATTTTGATACTATTCTCAAAACACAGCAAGGGATTTGATTTAATACCTTTTTCTTGCTCTTAAAAGAAGCAATGACAATCCCAGCCTCCTTCACCTTTCCTCCTAAGGTTTTGGAATTGTACTACACCAGAAAATTGCATAAATACCCCCACAACTATAAGAAATTGGATGCTTGCATTCATATAAACAAACCAACTCACCACAAACACCTTCAGATCAATCTTCCTTTTCCTTCTCGCTTTGCGTTGTGCCTTCCTAACCTTCATATCAATACATATACATCATTCCACATACATGTTATCATGTATTACCTCAACAGAAATCACAATTCCTACTACAAATTCAACTTATACCTCATCACAAATGTTGTAACATTCACTAACATCATCACTACACACACACATATATTGCATTACTGGATCAACTTCTGGTTCATGGTCATACTCAAAATAAGATTCTGACATAGACCCACTTGACAATGATTCAGAGGATGATTCATCACATGATTCTACCTGATACTCATTCACTTGTTTCCTGCTGCGACCCTTTATGGCCTTCCCTTTACCTGAATATCAAAGAAGGACTAACCCTCTTCATATAATGCCTCTTAACAATGATGCAACTTAAAAATTCACAATAATTCATCAATATTCAATCAACTTCAACCTTTCAATTCATGAATATAAAATATTCAAACTTCACTATGCAACTTCACAATTCATGAATATTCAATCAAACATTCAGTCAAATACCCAATCAAATATTAAATCATATATAAATCAAATATTCAATCATATATAAATCAAATACTCAATTTACAACTACACACGTTACAATTCAACCAAATATAAATCAAATACCAAACTGCATGCATGAATATAAATTACCAAACTGCAAAAAAATCAACAACACGACTTCACAAAATGGCCACACATACAGCTCTACATCACAACTTCACAAAAGCTAATACTCAGATAATTCTCTACATGCGGGTTCTAAATCAACATCACAAAATCAAATCATCACTAATTTCAAACTAATAATTTAATTCAAACACTAAATATCATAACTATGCGATTATTAGATTAATTCAATTACCAATTTCGCAAAACCCCAAACCCTAATTTCAAAATTACTTCTAAATTCAGAATTGCATTACCAAATACATTACTGATTAAAATCAACTAAAGCCCTAATTACACACAATCCGCTAATAATTCAATCAACATTTGACCCATTCAGTGTCGCAAAATCGCAACTTTATACCCTAAAGTACAACTACTACCAATTGAAACTTACCTCGTCCCTTCATTGGAAATACGAAGGCTACCCCGATCAATAACACTCGTGGACAAAAATGGTGAAGAACAGACCACTGCACTAACTCTACACAAGCGGGAAAACTTAAGCTATGTGCAGTGGGAGATGAAGAAATGAAAATTCTAATTCAAACGGGTATGTTGTGTTTTTATTTTTGTAATTATATACGTATGAAGTATTAAAATACACTACCTTAACTGAGAAAACCCCAAAATGCCCCTGTTCTATTTACAGCACGGTGTAGGGATGAGACATACTCGTGGGACAAGGATAAAAAATAGGGATGGAAGGAATGTAGTGTTTGCTTAGAGGGATGGGGATTATAAGGGGGTTAGGAATAGGGATTAAATCACCCACTTATCCCTCCATTTCTATAACTAAGGGGGGTGGTACAAGGGGAAGGGATTAAAATGGGTTTTAAAAGACTAAATTACCCTTAATGAAATTGAAAAAGTAAGGAGAAGGGGTAGAAGTTAGTAAGGGTATTTTTATAAATTTATTACTTATCCCTAATTTCTTTCCCCTACTTACCAAACATGGGATAAAGATTATTTATCCTTGTCCCACCTATCAATCCCCTATATTTATCCTCCCTTCTTATCCCTCTTATTCCCATCCTTCCAACCAAACGCCTAGTAGAAGTCTAGAGAGCACAAAATTTATGTTCACCTTTTAAATACGTAGTAAGTAGAGGTGATAAAAAAAATCGGGTTGGATTGGATCTTGACATCATGTTTTATGTCCAAACTCGTAAAAAAGTAGCGTGTTTGTCAGCAGTTATCAATAGCCAGTCTCGAGACCAACTATATAAATATAGTCTCTTACTGATGCGGCGTGACGTCAGCAAGTTATATATTCTCAAATCAGATATAAATCTCTTTTAAAAGAAAAAAAACAATTTTCATTTTAAAAATCTGTCTTACCCATTTTCTCTCTTTACCCATCACTTTCTCTTTTATCATCATTTTCACTCTTATTTTCTCTCAAAACCACCATAATCTATCAAACTACAAAAGCTTAGAGATCAAAATGACATGTATATTCAAGATGAAAGTAGAGCAGCATCTTAATAAAAATATGAAAAAAGACCTCGAAAAAAACAGTCACTAGTGGAAAAAAGGCCATCCGTAACGGGCAAAAACTGCCTATCCGTAACGGGCAACGGCCGTTACGTATGCAGCCGTTACGGATGGCCTTTGTTATTCGTAATGGGCACTGCCCGTTACGAATAATAGGTTATTCGTAACGGGCAACTTAAATGTCCGTTACGAATAATAGGTTATTCGTAACGGACATTTAAGTTGCCCGTTACGAATAACCTATTATTCGTGACGGACATTTAAGTTGCCCGTTACGAATAACCTATTATTCGTAACGGACTTATATGTTGCCCGTTACGAATAATAGGTTATTCGTAACGGACACTTAAGTTGCCCGTTACGAATAATGTTCAAAACATGCTAAAAATTAGGGGTATTTGTAACTGGCACTCTTTGGTACTAGTTACAAATACCCCAATTCTTTTCTTATTTCCTTTTATTTTTAACTATAAATTGGTTATCTTCCCTGATGAAAATATCAAAACATTATACATACAAAAAGCCAACTATATGTTTCAAAAGAAGTTACAAAAAATTTATTATGACACCACTTAAAAAAAAAAAAAAAAAAAAAAAAAAAGATTAGAATTACAAATAATTTCAGCAACCCCTTCTAATCACAGAGGCGTTCTTTTAACTCCCTCTTAATTTCAGCAGCTTCGTCTATAACTGCTTTTGCAGCTGCCTCCTTGTTCTTTACTGATCTCACAATTGACACAACTTCCTCATTGCTAAGAACATCCCAAACCTGTATTTCAGAGAAACACCAATATAAGAAACTATTCTACTCGTTGCTAAGTACATACGAGTATGAAATAAAACTTCACATCAATGTCCTTGTTAGTAGAGTGCAAATGCATTTGAAAGACAATATTCTACATACATCACAATTCACTAAGAATATACAATAGTACTAATGCTTCAATTGAAAACCTTCAACTTTATCTAGAATTTAATTTTCATGGTACCACTACTTCAAAAATAAAAATCTTGCTTATCATGTGGTCAGCCCACAAATAACAAAACCTTGCATATACATCATCAATAGATGACACATGTAACACAAAGCCTCTATGCTCACAAATTAATCCGTTTTAAATTACTTGTAACATTTGACTTCTCAAAATTAATTAAATTTTATTTAAAAAATTTGACCTTATTTGATTACTCAGTAACACTAACAAATGACATGCGTTAAACTAGTTTTAAAATGATTTATAAATATACATCATATCATATCAGATGTTACACTTAATTTGAGACAGATTATATGGAGTAATTACGTAACTATGGTTATGGAGCAACCACAAAAAATAAAGTAAGCACAAGAAAAGAAGGAATCGATCAACCAATAAAAATGCTGGAATTTATGTAATGGAGCATGCATAGAAGTAAGTCCTAGTATATACTCTCTAGAGTTAACTAGGTAGTGCCACTCAATTAAAATAAATATAAATTGGTAAAATCCATTGATAGATTGATAATGATAGATCGTATCAAAGTTGGGGTATGTTTTGTTAGTGGCAAACTTAGGTAGTCGGAAAGCTACAATTATTATTCACTCAAATAAAGTTTTTAGCATATTAAAGTGGCATGACAGACAGTCTAAGGGTTAATTATGAAGATAAACTAGTTTAATTAGACAAGCACCAATTAATATGATTTGCTACTGTATCTATTTATTAATGCGATGTTGATTTGTTATTTATTTCTTTTTCATACTCCTACAGAAACAGCAGCACATACTAGTAGAATGATTAAGGTCAAATCTTGCAAAGCATCCCAAACAAAGCTCTAGAAAGATCTTGCAGGCTTCTCAATAAATCGATTAGCACCAAAGATATTTTCGCGTTGTTCTGTTTCATTTGAGCTAACTCCATTTTTAAAAGACGCTGAAATCTTCTCTGCTATCCTTCCACTCCACCATGAGCTTTAAGGTCTTGTATTTTATGACCGCGAACAATTGATGCTTGCTCTTCTGCATGAATTTCATATCCTGCCTGTTTTGCTTCTTCTGACACAGTGAATTCATCTTTCCTGCCAGCTGCACATAACAAAGGAATTGAACAGATAATGAGGCTAACAGATAAAAGAAAATCGACGTAAATTTTACACATGAATCTTTACACATAGCACAAGTATTTAGCTGTTGTACCGTCCATGAAATGTAGAGCAGCTTTCTGTACATACAAAGCAACTCGCATTTTTTCCTGGAAGATTAATACAGAAAAAATGACAAACAAGTTACACTAATGAATAAAGGTTACTAGACATTTTGATAAATTTACTTTGAATGAACAGAAAACATGTACATTGGAAGCCTAGGGAATGCATTTTTACATAATTTTCGTACAGGTTATGCAGGACATCTATCAAAAGTATCATCTTGAGCCCGATTCAATTCATTTTATATCAACGAAGTTCAATAAGGGCTATAAACAAAAAAAATTACAAAAAAATTCTGCAATCAGGTATTAATCGGCAAAGATGAACTAAATTCATTACTAATTGCATGTATTACTCATTTCAATTGAAGAACATATTTTTTTTATTTATTATTCGTTTAGACATACAAAGGATAATCGAACCATAACCATTAGATTAACATACAAGAACCGACCAATTTTTTTTAAAAAAAAATACAACAAATTCGAAAACAAAATCAAACAATCATGTTACTCCACATTCCACAACGAAGCACAGTTAACTAATACCTCTAATTAGAACTTAAAGAAGACACAACCTAAACCCTTACACCTCTACAACACAAATCAACAGCTAAAACTGGAAATATTATTTAAAAACACATACACCCAGAATCAAATTATTAGAATTACAAAATTCAGAAAACAATCAATTAATTTTGCAATAACTCGAATGCAAAAAATCAGCCAAAAGATGAAATTGACCTTAGGATTGAGAGAACCAGAGGAAACGAGCTCATCACGAACCAAATCACCAGTAGAAATATGAGGAACATCGAGAAGCTTCGAAAGACGAGTAGCGTAAGTGCCTTTACCATGATGCTGAGGATGTGAGGTGAATGACGGGGAGGAGAAGAGAGGAGAGGAGAGAGAGTGAGGGACTTATGAGAGAGAAAGAGGTGAATGACGGCTGGTTTTAGGTGAAACCCTAAAAAACCAAGTATTGGGCTCCTTTCATCAGTTGGGCCACATTTGGGTATTTGTATCGGGCACAATACGCCTGTTACGTGTAATATAGTATTCGTAACGGGCAAAATAGTGTCCGTTACGAATACATATGTATTTGTAATGGGCACTAATTTGTCCGTTACTAATACATATGTATTCGTAACGGACACTATTTTGCCCGTTACGAATAAAAAGTATTCGTAACGGACACTATTTTGCCCGTTACGAATATCTTAATTGTAACGGGCAAAGCTTTGCCCGTTACAAATAGCCTGTTACGAATGAGATTTTTTCCACTAGTGAGTAATTTTGTAAATTTCTTTGTACTAGTAGCATAATTGTTTAATTACAAGCTAGACTTTTAGTAGCAATATTATTTTATTATTATGGAGGAATTTGCTTAATTTCCTAGCATGTTTGGTTGATTTACTGTACATTTTCAATTTATATTAATTAATTACATTTGATAGTATGAAAATTGTGAACATTAATGTTATAAGAAAGAACATCTTCTATTACAAGAATGAACATCTGATATTACAAGAATTAACATTTTGCCAAATTGTAAACATTACAAATGAAACTCTGCTATTATAAGAATGAATGTCTGATATTACAAGAATGGACATTTTGCCAAATTATGAATATTAATATTATAAAAATGAACATTTTGCCAAATTATGAATATTAATATTATAAGAATGAACATTGAACTTTGAAAGAATAAATATCCTATAGCAAAAAAAGTTCATTTTTGTTATATTAAATTGTGAACATTAATATTATAAGAATGAATGTTTGATAGTGTGAAAATGAACATTTAGTTTTGAAAGAAATAATATCGTATAGCAAGAAAATGTTTTCATTCTTGTTATATTAAATGTTCATTTTTTCAATGAGAGATTAGCCATGAAAATGTTCATTCTTGTTATATTAAATGTTCATTTTTACAACGAGGGACTAGCCAGATATAGCTGGTATCAAGACTAGCTAAGAATTTGCGGGCTTTTCAAGTAAAAGCAGGTTTTAAAAGCTTTTTTCGTGTCGTTTGTGGGCTTTAATTAAAAATGCGTTCTTAAGCCTGCCCAAACCAACCCTGTTTTTGGGTCTAATCGGGTCGGACTAGCTAGTCGAGCTAATGTTGATGATCACATCTAATAGAGTAAGTAGACCATGAACGTCCCTTTACTCTTAAATCGGGTATGTTTTGGTTTAGGTTATTTAACATACCTTGAATTGATCGGGTGAATTTTGAGCTATGTCGATTTGGTTAAGATTTGTAGAGTCAAGGTCGGATTTAAATTAATTCAATTTTGAATCATTTCATGCTCAAGTTTATGTTACAATAAAGAGAGTAAAAGTCATGTTTCTCGGTTGATTTATTATTGGGTTTCGAAAAGTCCGACTTTTCGCGGAACAAAACCGAACCCCAAGACCCGATCACAATTAATATGATTAAAAAGCATAATTAACAAGATAAAAAGAAAAGACAATATTACCCTTGATGCGTGCTTTGCTCGCTCAACGAGCTTTTACTTGGAAAGCTTCGAGTCGCGCACGTGCGTAGACCTCTAACAGAAATCCACCTGCAACTCGACCCGTCCAGTCTCTCCTCGGAGTTTAGCCGAGCTAGACCAAAATAAACTAACTCTAATTTTAATGAACTTAAGGGTTTTCTCTCTTTGGAAATGTCTTATTGAGTTTAACTCAAGTGGGTTTCTCAAATTCTAATACATGGGTATTTATAGAGTATTCCCACCAACATTCCTCTCTCCCATCAATGTGGGAGAGTTGGCAAAAATCATTTTTCTATTTTATTTTTACTTCAAAACAAAAGAAAAAGGCAAAGCAATAATTCATCGACAAGTGTCTGATGAGTGTCATTTTTGGCACTCATAGGGTAGTCTTTTAGGATGTTTTTACCCTGTTTTCATAGCTTTGTTTTATCGCTTTGGTCTTTTCTCCTTTAGTTTCTCCTTTTTCTTTTCTCTTCGTGTTTTACTTTCCTTTATGTGGATTTCTTCTCGTTTTCCTTTTTATTTGGCTCTTTTTCTCTTCTATTTCCTTTCTCTGTTTACATTTATAGGTGTAGGCGTCGCTCGAAGTGTGCCTATGTTAAAGCATGTGCTGAATATGCTTAGCAATCATAGGAAGTGGGAATTGACATATACGATTAGGGACATGGAAAGTAGGGAGCCGCCAACAAGTTTTTAAGGAACTTGTAAACCGTTCACGGATCATAAAAGGCAACCACGAATAAAGGGACAACGAAGGCAACAACGATTGACCCGTGAAGGTTACACCCCATTCATAATCCGTGAGATTACTAACTCCATATGGTTCGGAACCCCGAAAGGAGGATCGGGGATGATGGTACGAAGTGAGTCATGGAGTCACATTCGCCCGTATTGGCCTCTACTCGATTCTTATAGCGAAAAGTGATTCCTGCGATCTCAAAGGCATACAAACAGAGATTCAATTTACTCCAAATTATTATTAAGCTAAATTGGTTGAATATTAATGCAACATATAATTCTAAAATATTTGTGATCACTTGATTAAACAACTGGATTAAAAAGGAACCTAAACCGGTTGTCCAAATTATCTTATTAGGCGTGATTTTCAATTACATATTCCCTTTAAACATGCAATATGGTGATCAATAAATATAATAGAATTCTCATTAATATTGGAAGAAATTTGACAATAATAATGTTAATCAAATCAAATATAAAATTAACCTAATCATGATGCTAGAAATATTAAAATAAAATAAGAGTAATTAAATTAATTAATTACTCACTTTTCACGTTTCCTTGAATTGCTACATCATGAATAGACTGTTAGTAACTTCAATTAAAATATAAATCAAATGAAAATTAAACTAAATAAAAGTAGAGTTAATTTGGTCCAAACCCTTAGTTATTTATACCTTTCACGCCTTGGTTTAAGGATGGAACCTCGGGTATTGTATGGACTCCTTGGAGTGCTTAAGGGAAGAATGATGGAAATAGGGAGACTAGTTTAAGGCTTAGAATATGAGAGAGAGAGAAGAATTTGATGATCAAGCTTGTTGATCCTTGGAAAAGGAGTGATATGACCTCTATTTATAGAGAAAAAAAGAAGGGTCGAAGAGTTAAGATAAGATCCGAATTAAATCGGAATAAAACTCGATAGACTGTAGTTTTTGCGGTTTTGTTTTTATCATATCTTTTGATCCAGAAATTGGAATAAGATAAATAAGATATCGTCGGAAAGGTCTTGAAGTCTACTTTCAAACCCAATTAGAGTCGGATAAAAATATTTTATAGAACAAAAGATATAGCCGAAATAGTGAGACGGTGTCAGTTTTGGATAGAGTTTGACATTTTATTCATATCTTTTCCGTTATTGCTCGGAATTGATATTATAATATATTATTGGAAAGATAATTTCAAGGGCTATCCAACCATATAAAATTTATAAAAAAACTATGAAGCAAGAAAATAATATCTGTCTATCTTTGAACGTCTTTCAATTCGGATAAAAATAGGATTTTCAATAAAGGAGTTTTATTCAATTTCAAACTCTTTAATCTTATCTTTTCAAAACGGATAATTAAGATCTTTTAGAAACTTGTAGAAATTTCTAATCAATCCTAATTAGTGTATGAATGGGATTAAATAATTTGGACCCTCCACATGATCATTGGGTCGTAGGTAAGGTGGGCTTAGGTTCGGTTTGGGCTCGGTTTAATATTTTGGCCATAACTTATTCGTTATAACTCGGATTTGGGCTTATAATATATCGTTGGAAAGCTATATTAAAGCCCCATCCAATTATTCAATCATTAGACCCAGATTATGGACCAAAATAAACTGGATTAAACGTTTTATAAAAAGGACACGAAATGAATGATTTTAAAGGAAGCAAATGAATTATTTAGGGTTTAAAGGCACAAAAAGAGGAAAATAAGTTATGTTTTGGGGAAATGGGCTAGGAATTTGGTTGTTTTATGAAATGGAAATATGGATTTAAGCACTCCAAAAATTAAATACTCAACCCGACCAATAATGGCGCTGAAAGGTTGTTCATCATCGAGTTTGGTTTTGGGGAGACATTTTTAGGTGTCTACAATAGGTATCTAAGAAGTTAGCCTTGAAGAGGGTTCAAGAAGAGCTACAAGGACAAGGAAAAGGAAGAAGCAAGCTCCTTGGAGAAGGCTTGGAGAGGGCGCACTCCGTCTGCATATAGCTGCGGGCGCGGGTAAAGTGTAAAATTTGGAGATTTTTGGGTAGGAACTTCCCGCGCCCTAGCCGCGGCTGATTTAGAGAGGTCGCAGCATCTTGGAGAGGTCGCAAACCCCTAAAGAGCCTTGGGGAGCAGGGCAATTGCCGCGCCCAAGCCGCGGGCACGGTGGTTGATGCCGCGGGCGCGGGCTACAGTACTTGCGGGCGCGACCTTTGCCCAGAATGCCCGTTGAGTTTGTTATGGGTTCCGTACCCATTTTTCAGGGCACGTGGAATTTAAAGGAGAGGGTGCGGCCTTTTCTTCTTTGTCTATAAAGACTCTTGTACTTACTTTGAAGGGGAAACTTTTAGATGATTTTCATTTACTTAGTTATTAGAGAGAGAAGTTAGAGAGAAAGTATAGATAGAAGTTCTTTGATTTGTATTTGAATTACAACATTGCTTCAATCAAGTTTGGATTTCTTCTTCAAACAATGATATTTGTGAGAATTTCTTCCTTTGAATTTACTTTTGCTTGATATTTCCTTTAATTGTTGAATATTTGATTTTGTTGGTTGACTATTGGTTTGAGAATTTGTTGAGTTTGATTTTCTCTTTGATTAATTTTGAAATGATGATGTTTGCGATTCAATTTGTTTTATTTTTCAATTTCAACATGATTAGTGAGTAGATTAGTTGCTAGGGAGAAGGGGAAGCATGCTTGATTGATGATTTTTGCTAGTTGATGATCCTTGATTGATTGAATTGTTACAATTAAATTGGTTGACATAGTTGTGCATGTGATTAATTTGATTAGGAGTGATAAACCTAGATGATTAATCTAGCTTGCATAGAAAATTTTAATGACATGAAACCTTGATTTGAGAATTGCTTTAATTGGTTGAATTTGACTGTGATCTTCCTTGTTAGTCATTCATAGAACCCTAGCTTGACTTATAGGAGGTAGCTGTTGAATTCTATTGATTGCTACTATTGTTTGTCCTTTGTAACGTGTGAATCAATTGAGTTATCTATCGATTAGCATGATCATTGAGCTTGAATATGGAACCTTAATCCCTAGTGTTTAGCATATTGATTAGTTGAATTTAGACATACTTCAACCCACCATTCTCTCTTCGAAATAGCTTAGCATAGACTATAGAAACCTTCCCCTCATTCCTCGTGGTTTGACCCTTGACTTACCTCTATACTCGTATTGGGTTTGTTGAGTGAATATAAATTTGTTTGGCTCTAGGGAAGACTAGATAACGACCTACAATTTCCCTACGTCAAAATGGCACCATTGCCGGGGAATAGCGTAGTTGTTTTCTATAGTTGTTGAGTCTATTTCATTTTATTTCAAAAGCACAAAAATATTTTTCTCTTTTAGGCTACACTTGTAATCCTGCTACTAATTGTTTCTTTGAGATTGTATACATAGAGCACGTGGTCATTCTCTTGTACCTTTTGATCCGGAAATTGAGAGGACAATTTCAAGAAGAAGAGTTTCTAGACATTCTTTGAGTCCTAGCTCATCAAGTGAAGAAGAATCACAAGAACAAGAACAACCACGCATGGAAGAAAATCCGAGAGTGGCTTTGAAGGAATTGGGGATTCCTGGTGCATATAGATTCGAGAGTGGGATTGCTCCACCTACAACACCGGCGAATGACTTTGAAATAAGGCCGACAATGATCACTTTGATACAGAGATGACAATTTAGTGGTGCCAAGAATGAAATTCCACTAAATCATCTCAAGGAGTTTGAAAAATATTGCAATAATATCAAGGTGAATGGAATTTCCCAAGAATACATCCGCCTTAAGCTTTTTCCCTTTTCCCTCATAGGGCGTACCTTGGAATGGCTAGACAAGGAGGTCAAGCCGAATTCTCTAAGGACATGGGACGAGGTGACCAAGAAGTTTCTATCCTCAAAAGAAGACGGCGGAGGCTAGAGCTTTGATCCAAGGTTTCAAGCTAAGGCCTAGTGAAAGCCTCTATGAAGCATGGGAGAGATACAAAGAGTATCAAATAAAGAGAATGTCCTCACCAGGGAATTCCTACTTACCAAATTATTCAAATCTTCTATGGAGGCCTTAGTCCTCAAGGAAAGTCATGTCTAGATGGAGGAGCCGGAGGTCCCATCATGAATAAAACGGAAGAAGAAGTGGTAGACATAATTGAAGATGTAGTGAGGTACTATAGAGATTGGAAAGATGGAAAAAGAGAGTCAACTAGTTAGGGTAGCTCTTCAATGTACTCGGTTGATCATCTAAATGCAATCAACAATCTATCCTCACAAGTGACAAACTTGGGGAAAGAAATGACCGCGATCAAGGAAAAATTGAAGAGTTCTTCTTCCCAAGCTTAAAATCTTCCTTCCCAATTTAAGGGGAGAGGTACATCTTCTAACTCTAATCCCCTCCCTCTTCTAGTAACATGCCTAGTGGTTGTTTGTTTTGTGATGTGTGTGGTTCATATGATCATGATGCTAGTAATTGCCCTCATGCTTTTCCGAATAATAGTGATGATTTTGATAGCAATGAGAGTGAACATGTGAACTATGTGTCTAATAATAATAATGGGCAAATATTTGATAATAAAAGAGGTCAATGGAATAGGAATTTCAAAAACTATGGAAATTTTGACAACTATAATCATGGTGGTGGTTATAGGAACCAAGGTTCTCAAGGTAACTATAACAATCAAGGTTATAGTAGCCAAAATCAAAACCAAAATTATGGTAATCAAAACCAAGGTTATGGGAATCATAATCAAGGTAGTGGTAACCATAAACAAGGTTAAGGTAAAAATCAAAATAGGGGTAATTGGAACAATCAAGGTAGGGGCAATTTCCAAAACAATGCTCAAAGAGGTCCCACCCGGTTTTGTTCCAAAGACCCAAGGTGATAATTCCTATACACAACCTTCTTCCTCTAAGAATAACTTGGAGAAAATCATTGAAAATCAAACAAAGTTGTTGAACACTTACATGGCCCTAAGTGACAAGAAATTTAATGAAATGATGACTCATAATAAGATGCTTGAAAACCAAATTTCTTAACTTTCCAATGTTTTGAAAGACCATGATAATCCTTCTTCTTTACCTTCCCAAGGCCTAGATCCTAAGAGACCCGTCAAGGCTATTGTTACAAGGAATGGTAAGGTTCTTGAGGAGAGTTTTCCTAGGAAGAGTGAGACTAAGGAGGCCACAAAGGAGGTTTTGGTAGAGGATGAGAGAGATGGTGCATCTTTGAGTGAGGTTGTGATTGAGACACCTAGTGAGATGAGAGTAGAGAAAGAAATTGTGAAAACCAAGCTTCCTTATCCACAAAAATTCATGAGACATAAGTTGGATGAACAATTTGAACGATTTATTGACATGCTCAAGCAACTTCACTTTTCTTTGCCATTTACCGAAGTTGTCACCCAAATGCCTAACTATGCAAAATTCCTCAAAGACATTTTGAGCGATAGGAGGACTTGTGATGTTGTGGAGACGGTGAACTTGACCAAGAATTGTAGTGCAATAATAATGAACAAGATGCCACCTAAGCTAAAAGATCCCAAAAACTTTTCCATCCCTTGTGCCATTTACAAAATGCAAATCGACAATGCCTTATGTGACCAGGAGCTAGTGTTAGCCTTATGCCATATTCGGTGTACCAAAGACTTGAACTAGGGGAACTCTTACCTACAAACATCACTTTGTAATTGGCCGATAGGTCAATTAAGTTTCCTAAGGGTAAGGTGGAGGATGTCCCTTTGAGGGTTAGGAAATTTGTTATTCCAGTAGATTTTGTGGTGCTTGAGATGGACGAAGATGCTAGCATTTCTATCATCCTAGGGAGACCATTCCTCGCTACTTCGGGTGCTATGATAGATGTGAAGAGTGCTAAAATTTCTACTTCGGGTGCTATGATAGATGTGAAGAGTGCTAAAATTTCACTCAAAGTAGGAGATGAGGTTATAGAATTTGACTTGAATGATAGTATGAAGTACCCAAGTTCTTCTTTAGGAAATTGCATGTTCATTGACTTTCTTGATCAAGTTGTGTCTTCAATGCATGAGCACTTGCTCACCTCTAACGATGCTCTTGAGAATGTTTTGTTGAATAAGGAAAAGATATGTGCTCATAGCAAGGAAATGACATTGTATGAGGATTTACTATATAGAAGCATTGAGGAATTGGATGAGCAAATGTGCATGAAAATCTCAAGTCAAGAAGCTTTGCAAGTTGCCACCACAAATGAAGGTAAAGGTGTTCCAATGGCTGAGCTCAATGGAATATTCCATTCTTGTAGCAGCCACCGCTACTTACCTACGCTTTTTCTTCATCCCCCTTCGGACAATCACCTTTAGTTCGAGCTGGGCGATGAAAAGTTAGGGAGTTGGCTTTCACCAAACTTGGCCTGAGATCCTAAAACCTCTTCCATCACACCTTAGGTATGAATTCTTGGGACCCAACTCCACCTTTCCCGTGATTGTTATAGCTCTTCTTTGAGTGAGCTCCAAGCTCAAGAGTTGTGTGGTGTTTTGAGAAAGCACCAAAGTGCTTTGGGTTATACCATTAATGACCTCAAAGGTATAAGCCTCGCTTTATGTACACACCACATAACCCTTGAGGAGGGTTCTCTCCCTTCTATAAAGAGGCAACAGAAGCCACATCACCAAATGGGAGAGGTAGTAAAGAAGGAGATCACCAAACTTTTGGGTGCGGGAATTATATTACCCATCTTGAGTTCTAGGTGGGTCTCCCCCGTTCATGTTGTCCCAAAGAAGGGAGGTATGACCGTCGTCAAGAATGAGAGAGGTGAGCTCATTTCGATTAGGACGGTCACGGGATGGCGGATGTGTATTGACTATAGACGTCTAAACACATCAACCAAGAAAGATAAATTCCCCCTTCATTTCATTGATCAAATGCTTGAGAGACTAACGAGGCACAAGTTCTATTGTTTTCTCGATGGTTATTCGGGATTTTTCCAAATCCCTATCCACCCGAATGACCAAGAGAAGACTACCTTCACTGGTCCCTATGGAACATTTGCTTATAAGAGAATGTCGTTTGGCCTTTGTAATGCTCCTGCAACATTTCAAAGATGCATGATGAGTATATTTGGAGATATGTTGGAGGAGGAGATGGAGGTGTTTATGGACGACTTCTCCGTTGGCGGAGTTTCATTTAAGGCATGCCTTGAAAACCTAGAGAGATGTTTAGCTCGTTGTGTGAAGGTGAATCTTGTGTTGAATTGGGAGAAGTGTCACTTCATGGTGGAGGAAGGCATAGTCCTTGGCCACAAGATCTCTCAAAAGGGGATAGAGGTGGACAAAGCTAAAATTGAGGTCATTGAAAAGCTTCCACCTCCGGTGAATATGAAAGGAGTGAGATCTTTTTTAGGGCATGCCGGGTTTTATAGAAGATTCATCAAGGACTCATTGCAAAGCCCCTTAATGATCTTCTTTAAAAGGATGTCGAGTTTATATTCAATGATAAATGTTTGGAAGCAATCAATAAGTTGAAGAAGGCTCTAATCTCTACTCCTATTGTTCAAGCCCCAAGATGGGATTTACCTTTTGAGTTGATGTGTGATGCAAGAGATTCGGCAATAGGAGTTGTCTTGGGTCAAAGTGTGGAAAAGAAGCTCCATGTGATCTATTGTATGTCCAAGACTCTAAATGGTGCTCAAAGGAACTACACTACAACGAAAAAGGAATTTTTGGCTATTGTTCATGCTTTTGAGAAGTTCCGTTGTTATTTGTTTGGTTCAAAAACCAATGTCTTCATGGATCATGCGGCTCTTAAGTACCTATTTTTTCAAGAAGGAATCCAAGCGTAGGTTGATTCGTTGGGTGCTCGATCTTTAAACCTTTGATATAGAGATTAGGGATAAAAGAGGAGCGGAAATTGTTGTGGCGAATCATCTCTCTTGCCTTGAAGGTTCTCAAATCCATGATGATGGTTCTCCAATTAAGGATAGAATGCTTGATGATTTCTTGTATGCCATTAAGGTGAAGGAGCTCTCATGGTTTTACCGACTTAGTGAATTTTCTTGCATGCGGGGAGTTTCCACCTTCCTTTTCTAAGAACTAACGAAAGAAGCTCAAGCGAGAGGCAAGACACTATTTGTGGGATGATCCCATCTTGTAAAAATGAGGGGTTGATGGTTTACTTAGGTGTTGTGTTCCAAATGAAGAGGTGCCTAGTGTTTTGAAGATGTGCCATTCGGATCCTAGTGGTGGCCATATGGGTGTTTCTAAAACCGCCGCTAAGATTCTTCAAAGTGGTCTATGGTGGCCACATCTCTTCAAGGATTCATGGAGCTTTGTTAAGTCATGCAATAGTTGTCAACGAGTTGGGAATATCTTCAAGCATAATGAGATGCCTCAACAACCTATTCTTGAGTTGGAAGTGTTCGATGTTTGGGGGATTGATTTCATGGGACCGTTTCCTTTGTCTTTTGGGAATCAATGCATTCTTGTGGCGGTGGACTATGCGTCAAAATGGGTAGAGGCCATTGCTTCTCTAAAAAATGACCACAAGGTGGTAATGAAGTTGTTAAAAAAGATCATCTTTCCAAGATTTGGTGTGCCTAAGGTAGTGATAAGCGACAATGGTTCTCATTTTGTTTACAATGCCTTTTAAAATATGATGCGAAAGCATGGAGTTCATCAACGCTTTGGCCTTCCATATCATCCTCAAACAAGCGGCCAAGTCAAGGTTTCCAATTGTCAAATCAGTTTAATTCTTAAGAAGACGGTTGCAAGGAATAGAAAAGATTGGTCTGACAAGTTAGATGATGCTCTTTAGGCCTATAGAACGGCTTTCATGACACCTATAGGCACCACTCCATATCGCCTAGTCTATGGAAAATCATGCCATCTCCCGGTAGAGCTTGAACATCGTGCTTTGTGGGCAATCAAGAAGATAAATTTTGATTTGACAAGTGCGAGGAAGAAAATGTGGTTAAATCTTCATGAGCTAGAGGAGCTTAGACTTGATGCTTACGATTGTGCTAGTACCTACAAAGGTCGTTCTAGTTGGTGACAAAGTCCTCCTCTACAATTCCAAGATGAAGTTGTTTCCCGGGAAGCTCATATCTAAATGGGTGGTCCATTCTTGGTGAACGATGTCTTTCCTACTGGTGCCGTGGAAATTACCCCTTTGGATTCCTCATATTCTTTTAAGGTTAATGGACATCGGCTCAAGAAGTACTTGATGGATTCTTCGTTGGTCTAGTTCACAAGATGATTCTCTAGAAACTACTTTGAATGGGTGGTAAACGTTGAGCTAACAACGTTAAACAAAAGCTCTTACGAGAGGCAATTCGGATTCTCACCTATTTTCTCTTTTCCTTTCTTCCTTTTATTTTTCTTTATTGATCTTTGTCTTTACTATTTTTCTTGTTTTGCTTTGTTTTGTAGGTTAACTTTAATCATCAAGTGAGCTTTTGATAAGTGACTTTTATGTCACTTTTAAGGGTGTTTATTAAGTACTTTTCCGGCTTATTTTTCAATATATAAGCCCATTTTATCCTTTATTTCTATTATTGGCTTATTCTCGTCTTTTATCTTTTTATTTGTGTAGTTTTTAGTTTAATTTCTTAATTTATTTATGTTTCTTATTCTCTTATGTTTTAGTCTTTTTTCTTGTTAATATTATTCTTCTCGTTTTTCTCCTTTTATTATTTTCTTTTAGTTTTGTAGTTTGTTTTCTTTATTTTATTTAATATCTTTTGATTTTATTATTTCTTTTAGTATTATATTTTACTTTACTTTATGTTATTTTGTTTTATTTCCGGTTTTACCCTCGTGTTTATTTTTGGTTTTAGGTGTTTTCGAGTCCTTAATCGAATTTCATGTTTAAATCAAGTTCAAAGTCAATGCTCCAAGCTGTTGCTGTTACTTCCCTTTATCCTTCACCACTCCATCTCCCTATCCTACACCACACTCCCCTTCTTCCTCAATTCTCCCTACAGCACATCTCCCCTGCTCCCTCACTTGCTATTAGTAGCCAAATTGCTCCCAATTCTCCAACAAACAACAACAATAACAATAGCAGAATCCACTGCCCTGAACCACCATCAACAACCACCCTACAACCGCACCTAGAAACACCAATCAACCACTTACCAACCCGCAACTTAATTGCTCCCTCACAACCGCAATTGAGCTGCCACCGCAATACGCCTCTCCGCGCAACCACAGAAGCCACCTGAACACAATTAACACCAACCCTTAAAACTCACACACCTAAATTCGAACCAGTCACACACTCCCACCACCAAACCACTTGCAATCACCAAACACCACCTCCACGCAGCCATCGAACTCAACCGCAAAAAGCACGCAAACAGCCCAATTCCCCTGCATCACCTCGCACCTATTCACCTCAAATTAACCACCTCAAACACCACCACATAGCGCCATCCCCATTTCTTACCGCCGCCGGCAACAACCTCTAACAATAGCAGCCAGCAAATCGCAGCAATTCGCTCCCAAACCGAGCAACCCCAATTGAACTCAATCAAGCCCCAATTCGATTGGATTTACCCGCGGGCGCGGGTGTGAGAGGCGCGGACGCGGGGCTCGATGCACCAAATCTGCCAATTTGTGGCAGGAAAGAGCCACGAGTGTGCCGCAGTCTCTCCGCGGGCGCGGTCTTCTGGGTGTGAAAAAAAACCCATATCACGAGCTTCTCACGTGATAATTAATAATATCGAACGATCAAGATTTGAAGTTTGATGAAGACGATGATGATGAGCGGTGATGATACTTGTTTGCTGTTGAGGATGTTGGATTCGTGGGTCTGATGGGATTTTGGGGTTTTATTTTCCTTTTTATTTTATTTTTTATTTTAGTTTTGTTATTTATTTATTTTAGTTAGTTTTATTTATTTTATTTGGATTAGCTTGTATATAAATCCCCTTTTGGAGTTAATACTCTCTTAACTTTTAACAACCATTTTTTCGAGTAGTTGGAGGGAGCTTCTCTCTCTCTTAGGGTTAGCTTAGATAATTTTAGAGAGATAAAGTATATTATTGCTCAAGTTTCTCTATTGTATTCAACTTTTGGTCAAGTTCATTTCAATCAAGCAATACTTCCAAGTTTTCATCTTTAATCAAGTTCATCTTTAGTAATCTCTAATCCCTTCTTTTAGCTTTATTTATTTGCTTTATTGTTGATTATTTTCATTCATCTTTTTAGTTGAACTAGTTGGTATTGTTTTCATTGTTCTTAATCATGCTTAGTTTTGTGCTTCTCGAATTCATGTTTAGTATTGTTATTAAGCTTAATCTCCCTTCCCTAGACTAATTTCTTAGCTATGGGAAAGGGGTGGAAAATATGTGTTGATATTGGATGAATGATGATGGTTGGATTGAACTCAATCCATAAATTGATGAAAGACATGATTTTTGATAGCTTAAGATTATTGTGGCACTTTATTTGATGTTCTCTAGTTTAAATGCATGAAAGTGATTTGAACTAGATTAAGATCATCTCTATTTTAATGATTGCATGAGAATGAGTTGTTAAAGTGGAGTTTTATAGATTGTGCTTCTTTATTCTCTTGATTTGATTGTAACTAATAGGATGCATGAGAATGATCCTAATTAGTATAGACCTTTTTTCATTGATTTTCCTAGACTATTGCATGAGAATGAATTGTTTAGGTAGAATCTTGTGCTCTTTGGCATGTTCATCATGATAACCATTATTGTTCCCCTCTTTTGAATCATGTTTGACACCCCCGTACCCCTAGCGTCGTTCTCTCTAGATTTTAATCATCTTTATCTTTACTTGTTTGTAGTTTTAGTTCTTTTTATCAAAAAAACCAACAAAAACATTCCCCCTTTTACTCTTGCATTAGTGATATTGATGTTGGACAAGTGAGCTTCCTGAGTGGTCCGACCCTTCACATACCCCTATAATTATTGTATTAGGGTAGTTTAGGAATATAAATGATTTGATTAGGGTAATAGTTTAACGACCTATCTAATCCGCGATCAAATTTTGGCGCCGTTTCCGAGGAAGCGGCTTGTTTAACATTTATTTTTTCTATTGTGATGAGTGTCATTTTATGGCACTGATTTGATTCTCTTTAGGATGAATTTCATGCTATTATATAGCACTTTTACTTAGCTTTTCCTTAATTTTATTCTTTATTTCTTTTAATTTGCATTTTCTTAGTTTGATTTCTTTCTTTATGCATTTCTTGGTTTATTTTGTTATTTTCTCTTTTATTTGCTTGTTTTCCTTTATTTTTTAGGTTAAGGTCATTATCCAAGTTTCCTGAGGCCTCTTCCCAAGTTCAGCATTGATTAGGATGCCTAGTGGTCTCCATTTGAAGCTCAAGCATTGAGAAGTGCAAGTCCTAAAGACCTTGAGCTGTGCATTCAAGCCGTGGGGGCATGATTCCTAGTCTTGAACCCGCAATCATGGAGTTTAGAAACTGCAAGGTTTCATGTTTATTAAGAGCATTAAATGGAGCGCACGAGGAGCATCGGAATGATAGGAAAGAGGGCTCCCTACTCCCAGGCGCGGGCGCGCGCGACCTAGTGGCGCGGGCGCGCCTCCCTCGGGCGCGGGCACGCCTGTCTGGGTCCCTGCTCCGTACCTAGTTTTGCATGGCCACGCTTCCCCTTATGGTTGGCCATGCCTGTATGGGTTTATTTGGGGACGATCTGAATAACTTCTCTTTGTTAGTTTTACTGTATATAGATTTTCATTCTATTTTTAGAGGGAGGATAATTAGAGAATCATTAGAGAATTAATTCAGAAATTAGGCTAGAATTTTAGAGAGAGAAACTCTAGTTTGTAGAGAGAGAAGTTCTTGATTGTTGATTGATGATTGAAGATTGTTAAATTCTAGCATTTCCTCCATTGAATTGAAGCAAGTTTGTAAGGATTTCTTTTACTTTAATGCAATTTTCAGCTCATCATTTCAATCGTTTGTTGATTGTTCAAGTTTGAATTGAATTTGTGATTGAATTAGTTCTATTGATATGATGATGATGAAATTGTTGATTAGTTTAGTTTTGATCTTAATTTCAATGGATTGTGAGTAGTTCTCTTGTTAGGGGAATGGTGAAGCATGTATGAGTGATGGATTGATGCTAATTGGGGGAAATTGATGGAGTTGATGTTGTGATTAAAATGGTTGATTGATTAAATGCATGTGTGTGATTAATTGAAGAGTAGCTGACTTTGATTTGTTACACTAGAATGCATTGTGGGCATGCATTGATACGGAAAATTGATATGTGGCTTGCTTTTGTCGATTGAGTAGGTTTGCAAGGCTCTTAGTTAGAGTCTCTTGTAGTTAGCGCTAGCTTGACCTTTAGGAGATTAGCCTACCTTACTCTCTTGATTGCTTAGTTGATTTTCCCTCGTAACACTTGACTTAGTCATCTCCAATCCCAATTAGCTATGTCCATTCCGAGTACATGCGGATCCTAACCCTAGTGCTTGTTAAATTTGATTTCTTTTGATTGTTTGATTGTCTTAGATACACCCACCTCACTTTATTGCTTCGAAATAGCTTAGCTTTGCCTTTAGCATTCATTTCCCATTCCTAGTGGTTCGACCCTCGACTTACTCTATGCTTTGTGTAGGGGTGTGTTGAGAGATTATAAATTTTGTTTTGACCAAGGGTAGATTAGTTTTCAACGACCTAGTCTCGCCCTAGATAAAAAAATGGTGCCGTTGCCAGGGAATGGCGTAGATGATTGCTATTGTAGTTGAGTCTATTTCACCTTAATCTCAAAAATACAAAAAGATTTTTCTCTTTAGGCTACATTTGTAGCTGGGCTATTGATATTTTCTTTGAGTTTTTGTATGCGTAGGATAAGAGGAAGGACTTTATTGCCATTTAATCTAGAAATCAAGAGAATAATAATAAGGATAAGGGTTGCTAATCATTCTTTGAGTCCAAGCTCTCCAAGAGAAGAAATTCACCAAGAAGGAAAAGAAGAGGATCAAGTAAGCATGGGAGATAATCCAAGAGTTGCTTTGAAGGAGTTGGGAACCCCTGGTGCATATAGGTTTTAATGTGGGATTGCTTTACCAATAACACCGACAAATGATTTTGAGATTAGACCGGCAATGATCACTTTGATTGAAAGAAGACAATTTAGTGGGGCTAAGATTGAAAGTCCGCTAAACCATTTCAAAGAGTTTGAGAAGTATTGCAACACTATCAAAGTGAATGGTGTTTCTCAAGAGTTCATTCGACTCAAGTTGTTCCCTTCTCCCTCATAGGTCGAGCTTTGGAATGGTTAGACAAGGAGGACACTCCAAATTCTCTCAGAACATGGGATGAAGTTACCAAGGAATTCTTTTCTAGGTTCCACCCCCAAAAGAAAACGACGGAAGCAAGGGCTTTGATTCAAAGTTTCAAGCAAAATCCTAGTGAGAGCTTGTACGAAGCATGGGAAAGGTATAAGGAGTATCAAAGAGAATGTCCCCATCATGGCATCCCAACATATCAAATTATTCAAATTTTCTATGGAGGGTTGAGTCCTCAAGGAAAATCGTGTCTTGATGCGGGAGCCGGAGGCCCAATCATGAACAAAACCGAAGAAGAGGTTGTGGACATTATAGAAGATGTGGTGCGCCATTTCATGGATTGGCAAGAAGGAGAAAGAGAGTCTTCAAGCAAGAATGGATCAACGGTTAACTCGGTTGATCACCTTAATGCCATCAACAATCTATCCTCTGAAATTTCAAGTTTGGGGAAGGAGATGAAAACAATCAAGGCCAAGCTTGAGAGTGCAACTTCCAATGCACAAGGTCATCCTTCCCACATTAAAGGGAGAGGTACATCTTCTAACTCTACTCCTCTTTCTTCTTCTAAAAATATGCCCAATGGATGTTTGTTTTGTGATAATTGTGGGTCTTATGACCATGATGCTTCTACTTGTTCAAATGGGTTTGAAAATCTTGATGATGGTGAGAGTAATGAATGTGAACATGTGAATTTTGTCTCAAATAATAACAATAGTCAAAGTTTTGATGGACAAAGATACTTTGGAAATAGAAATTCTCAACAACAAGGTGGATTTGATAACTATAACAATGGTAATTATAGGAACCAAGGAAACCAAAATTTCCCAGGCAACTATAATAACCAAGGTTATGGGAATCAAAACCAAGGACAAGGTTATGGAAATCAAAGCCAATCTCAAGGCTTTAGAGGCCAAAACCCAAAATTTTGGCAACAATCAAAATTGAGGCAATTAGAACAATCAAAATAGGAGGAATTTTCAAAACAATCAAAGGGGACCCCCACCCGGATTTGGTCCAAAGTCTCAAGGTGTTGGTGAAAATCCTATTCTCAATCTTCCAAGTCCAATTTGGAGGAGATAATTGAAAATCAAACAAAAATCTTGAACACCTATATGGCGATGAGCGATAAGAAATTTAATGAGATCATGACACATAACAAAATGCTTGAGACACAAATCACCCAACTAGCAAACACTTTGAAAGATTGTGCTAGTCCTTCTTCATTGCCTTCTCAAGGAGTTGATCCAAAGAAACCAGTTTATTCCATCACCACAAGGAGTGGAAGAGTTCTTGAAGAGAGAGTTTCTAGGGATTGTGAGGAGGACAAGAAGAAGAGTGTTTTAAGTGAGAAAAATGAGGAAGATGTGTCAAGAGATGTGATCAAAGAAGAGAGCCATGAGAAAAATAAGAGTGATGAGAGAAAGCAGAGTAAGTAAGAAAACCCGACCTTCCATATCCCCAAAAGTTTATGAGGAACAAACTAGATGAACAATATGGGAGATTTCTTGAAATGTTGAAGGAGTTCCATCTTTCTATCCCTCTTACTGAATCCATGACACAAATGCCTAGATATTTCAAGTTCCTTAAGGATATCTTAAGTGGGAAGAGAGATTGTAATGAGATATATTCGGTGGAGCTTGGTGAGTGTTGTGGTGCTTTGATTCAAAATGACCTCCCCAAGAAGATGAAAGATCCAGGTAATTTCTCCATTTCTTGCAAAATCAAGAGTAAGTTGTTTGAGAATGCTTTATGTGATTTGGGTGCTAGTGTGAGCATAATGCCCTTCTCAGTCTTCAAGAAGCTAAAGCTAGGAGAACTTATTCCTACCAACATGACTTTGCAATTGGCCGATAGGTCTATCAAGTTTCCAAATGGAAGAGTTGAGGATGTTCCCCTAAAGATAAGTGGTTTTACAATCCCCGTTGATTTCATTGTGCTTGAAATAGAAGAAGATGACCACATTCCAATTATCTTAGGGAGACCGTTCTTAGCTACTTCGGGAGCTTTGATTGATGTTAAGGGAGGCCAAATTACCTTGAGAGTTGGTAACAAGAAAGAAAATTTTGAGCTAAAACCAATGCATGAGTCCTTATCTCTTGTGAAAGGAATCAAGAGTGATGATTCCCTTCGTTCTTTTGACAATGTGTATGTGGTTGATTCTTCATCTAACAATATTCATGATATTTTCGATGATGTGCTTGTGAGTTTTGATTGCATGAAAGTTAGTGAAGATAAGAAGGAGCTTCCAAAGGCTATGAACGAAGAGGAGATAGACATTCCTCATTGGTTTGAGCTCTAACCTCGAGAGGAAGAGGAGGATTCCATGGAGGTAGATGGTGTGAAACTGTCTACAAAAAGAAACAAAATAAAGAAGAAAGCAAGAGCTTCGAAGAAGAAGATAATGATATTGAAGATGAGAAATGAAAAGATTGTTTTTGATGTCCAAGCTAGTGAAGTCTTGTCAAGCAACAATGAGAGGTTGCTTGAAAATGAAGGAGAAGTTGTTCTTTCCGCCACTTTGAAGAAGGTGGTGGTCTTTGACCCTCCATGATTTGGAGGAAGGGTCGAGCTAAGGACCTTAAGCAAGCGCTTCCCGGGAGGCAACCCGGAGATTTCTAACCTTTTCTTTTGATTTCAATTTTTCTTAATTTTCTTTCTTTTAGTTTCTTTTCTTTTCTTTCACTTTTTTTACTTTGGATTTATAGGTTGAATTCTTAGAAGTTGGATTACATCAAGTGGAACAAGCTATGGAATGGTGTTTCGCGGTTTTTAATGTGTTTTATGTTCAATTTTATTGAAATTTTGAGGTAAAAGGGGTAAGAATTGTTAGGAAGGTAAGTTAGGAAATTTGTGCTTAAGTTTAAAGAAATTGGATCTTGGTGAGTTCATCGTGGTGCTACCATAATTTGGGGTGTTGAACCTACATTTTTCACATTTAGAAACTGAACGTCATGATGGGGTCAAAAATCCCGGAATGATAGTTATCGATGTACCCACGCATGAACGCACCAAGGAAAAAGGCAAGAAGAGCAGCAGATGGCGCGGGCGCGCCTAGCCCATGCGCGACATTGGCGCAGGCGCGCTGCCAGGCCGCGCGGCCGCGCACCCCCTGCCGTGCCTATTTTTTCTTCTTTCTTCCTTCTTTTCCCTCATTTCCCTTTCACCCTCATTTTCTCACGAACAATCCCATTCACCCTCATCAAAACCGCACCTCACCCTACACACATTCATCAAATTTTCACTCAAATTCAACCAAATTTCCATCATAATTCATCAAATTCTTTTGTAATTCTTCCAATTTTAACAAATTCATACTACATTTCACCCATAGAAACCACGATTCTCTCTCCTCTATTATTCAAGCTCATTTGGGGTTTTTCGTGTGGGTGGGAATTGGTGGCTAAGGATTGCTCTAACTTGCTTCTTGTGTGGTATAATCATCTACTCTTGTTCTTAATTGCTTTATTATAGCATATAATTGCATGTTTTAGTAATTCATGATCATGAATAGTAGTCGTATGTATTTTGATGGATTTGATGTTTGAAATTGGATTTTGGTTGGTTATTTGTGTTGTATAATGATTGTTTATTGCTTACATAGTGTTGTTTGTTGTTTCTGTAGCAAAAATGTTCGTTATTGTCGAGAATTGTTGTGATCGGATTTTTGGTAGTGGTGCTTCGTTGATAATGTTGAGCCTTGGTTCTTGATTTCTTTGTGTTTGGTATATGATTTGAATGCATTTGGTGGCTTGAATTGGTGGTAATTGTGTGTATTTGGGATTACTCATCTTTGGTAGTGAGTTGTTGATTTTCGGTTTTGGTTAAGGAGTTCGATTAAAGCATTCAAATTTGTTGGTTGGAGTTTCTTGGGGTGATTGTGGTGTTTTGAGTTGCTATATTTGAAAATCATCATGTCTAAACACATCAAAAGCCTTTTCAAGAAACGAAAAACCAATGATGAACCCGCTCCTTCTCCCTCTATCTCTCAACAACGTAAACCTACCCTTATCCCCAAACTTAGAATTACCGACCCAATCCAAAAATCTAGACACTTAAAGCTCAAATCAAACCGTTCCCTCAAGCCTTCCCATCACTATTTTCAACCGGATATGATTAAATTGAGGATTGATGAAGACTTGAGGGAGTTGCTCAACAACCTCCGTATGGGATCTTTTGTGAGCGGAGCTTCCGTACATATGTTCAACCAACTTTTGAGTTCTTGGCCACGTTTGATCTTGTGGTGATTGAGGGTGATTTCTACCGTGTTTGATTTCAACTCTTCAACATTCAATTCGATCAATCTTTGGAAGAGTTTAACGCGGCTCTTAATTTTGATCCAAATTATGATATTTTGGATCCCGAGTTCTTCTTCAACGATGAGTATGATCAGAATTCGTGGTGGGACGATATTTCTGGTTGTGGTAACATTGTGACCCGGTATGCCAAGATTAGTAAGGTATACCAACCATGTCTCCGGGTTCTCCATAGGCTATTGGGATATTCGGTGTTCCCGAAGCAAGAATTGAGAAAGATAAGCCAATTGGAACTTCGGATTTTGTGGGTGGCCACTCGTGCGGAGTACCGAGGTCGCCTAAACTTGGGGTACACTTTTGCAAGCTATTTCCAAGGGTTGCAAGATAAGGAATCCGGCGAGATCCCTTGTGGGAGCATAATCACTAGGTTAGTGACCAACCTTGAGCACGGGCATTATTTGCCATCTTGCACTCCGGTGGGGGATGTTTATTCTCTATACCTCGACATCAAGCAATTGAAGCAAATCCATTTCTTGGCAAAAAATGATGATGACGAGGTATTTGATTGGCTAAGGGACAATGAGCATTGGTGATATCTCCCTAACCCTTCCTTGACTTCTCTCCACCGAGAGAATGTAGCAAACATTTGGCATGGCCCCATTAGTCACCGCCCACCCTACCATGACGATGATGAAGAAATGGGTGAAGAAGAAGAAGAAGAAGAAGAGCCGCAACAACAACAACAACAACAAGAGCAACATCATCAATATGCCAACTCCGACTTGGATGCCCTTAGTGCTCAAATGAAGGGCATGAAAATCCGATTGGAAGGCATTTAGATCAAGATTTTGAGGCCCTCTATACCCATATGAGAGGGATTTCGGAGATGCAACAAGGTATGTTTCTTCAACAACAACACTTATATGATGCGGGTGTTAACCAGGGAGAAATCACTCCCCCGGTTAACTACCCTTACTTTCCACACCAATATGGTCCTCTACCATCTTTTGGGGGTGATGGGATACCTACGTACCCATATTGGCAAGGACCCCCGGGGTCCAACACCGAGACTTGCTCATTCCCCGATAAGCATGGTAACTACGATTACCGTGTTCCCGGTGGGAGCGATTATAGGGGTGATCCTAATTACCCTTATGTACACCCCGATCATCCACTACCGCTCGCTTTGCCCGAGCAATTCACTCCCCTTGCGCCTTGGCAACAAGATAACTTTAGGGGGCATTATGGTTGGCCACCCGGTTACACCGCGGGATAGGATCCTCATGGTCCCCCATCCGGGTTTTCCTATGTTGGGGATGACAATGATGGCTCCGGGCCAAGTGGTAGTGGTTGCTAGTTCCCTCATAATTTTGTGCTATGTGCTCCATCCCTTGTCTTATGTGTGCTTGCTTTGTATTGTTTGGATGTTGAGTAGTATCTTTGTTTAGCTTGGGGGAACTTTTCCTTTTCTTAGTGGTTTTGTCTCGGTGGCCAATTTGTTGTTAAAACTAACCTTGCTTCTCTTGATTCTTTGCATGATGATCTCATTCTTGATCCTACTTTGATGATGTTTGACCATTTTTGATCTTCTTGTTGTTGTGATGATGATGTGTGTTTTCTCCCTTGTATCCTAACCCCTAAAATCCAAATCCCATGAATCCAAACCCCCTTGAATCCAAATTTTGTAGTTTAGTATTTTGATGTTTAGTTAGATGATTATTTAGTTCTTTAGATTCTTATTTTCTTATTTTTGCTTTCTTGCTAGTTTAGTTTTGCTTATTTTTGCTTTTATTTCCTTTTCGTTTTCTTTTCTTTTGTTTTGAAGTTACTAACCATTTTCTTTGTCTATAGTTTTCTTTTCCATTTTTGTTCTCACATGGCTTTGATGATGATGCTTTGATATTTGGAGCTTCATGAGGTGGTTAGTTCTTCACCTTACCTTTTTTAGCATTGCTTTGAAGCTGGTGAGATCTTTCTTATTTTTCTTTATTCTCTTTTATTTTCTTGGATGCATAGTTTAGGATTAGTTTTAGGAAGAGTTGAATGGTTCGAGAATGGATGCTTTTAACACCTAGTGTGTTTGGGATCATTGACGATGTTGTCATTTGATCACTTGTTTGTCGATTGGGAATTACATGTTCTACTTGCATATTCGTTCCATTCTTTACTTTCCTTCTTTTCCTTTATTTATGTTTTTCTTTTCTTTTCTTTTCTTTTAATTTTCTTTCTTTTTGTTTTTGGTTTTTGGTATGATTTTGAGGCTTTATTTGTCAACTTTTTATTTTTCTCTTTTAATTGGACTATATACAACCGATCTTTTCTTTTAAATGAATATCTTCGTAAATGGTTTGGGTATGCACGGTTTGAGAGTATGCTTGGTTGACTCTAGGATAGGTGTATGCCAAGGTAACATGATCTAGAACTAGGAGGATCATGAAACCGAATTCTTTGTGGCATGTTGGTAGTTGCTTCGTATGGTCGATTTGACACCTATAATGAGTTTTTGCTACATCCATGTGAGGTTCTTCATTTTTCAAGCCTTCTACATATCTTGCATGAGTGGCATGGATCCTTGACTATTGCGGACCTAATCTTGAATCTTGACTCATAATTCTCAAACACGAGACTGAACCATCTAGGGAGGACAAAGGCATCTTTTCGGGGTGGTAACTTTTATATTTATAGGTTTAATCTTCTTTATTTTAGTTCTTTGGGTTTGCATTTGCCCTCTTTCTAACCATTTGAGCCTTTTCCTTTCTTTTCAAGCCACAACTTTAGCACTTTGAGCCTTTTGTTTCTTTTTGTTCCATCTTTTGTTTTTGTTAAGCAAATGGTCATGTTTGTGGAGTTTGTAGTTTATTAGGTTGGACATTGGTTCCTTTTGTAAGAAAGCTTGTGTTTTGTAAATATTTTGTGAATAATGGCAAATGTATGATAGAAAAAGCCGTCTAAAGTTAGAAAAGGCAAGGACGTAATAAATGCAAAGTTGTAAAACCCGTCCAAAGTTAAAAGAGGCGAGGACAATTGCTTTGAAGTTATGCATAAA